CTTTTTAAGAACGGCTCTGAAGGGTCTGCCTTGTTTTTGGTTTCTGAGGAGGTTCTGAATTCGGCCGCTGTCGGAATACCCGACCCAGAGCGGGCAGCTCAATGGCTGCTGGCTCCGGTCGTATGAAGATGTTCCGGCCGGCTCCCTTTTGATTATATGATTGAGGGTCGATGGCCGAAAGGGGGCCGGCGCACACTGTGCAAATTTTCAGGCGGTTCCTCATGAATTCGCACATTGAATGGGCACTACTGGTGGGAGAAGTATGAGTTAATGGGTCACCGCTGGAAGGAGGGAGCAGGATCAGCTGAGCTCATCAGTCACTGCTGGGAAGGAGAAGCTTTGCTACTGAAAGACTGAGGGGAATTTATCAAAACTGGAGCAGATTTGCACTGTAACCAATCAGCTTCTCTCTCTCATTTTCAAATCTTAGCTGAGCAAACTGAGGAGAGATGCTGATTGGTTGCCATGTGCAACTGCTCCAGATTCTGCTTTGATAAATTCCCCTGTTTTTTTTCTTGTGACATTTGGGGATACATTTCTATAAAGATCAGCGAGGACTGTTCCGGCACAGATTTTCCAATCAGCTGACAGCCAGATGGCAGCACCCAGTGTGTGAAGTCGCACAGCGTCAGTCAGTAAATTTAACCGGTAATCGGGGCCGATATTCCCACTTTTTCATTATCGGGAGAGCACTAGTAGTGAGCAGTTTATAAGGCAGCTTCTGATGCTGAGCACGATTGGCTGAGTCCAGCTTCAGTGACGGGGCAATGCCATAACCTATGGACCTGGAAAGTTCTCTGCAGCTAATTTTTACCAAAGCTTGAAATATCAAAAGTGGAACCCCTGGGCCCGACGGTCACATTCCAGGGTAGTCTCATACGGCCAGCTAAGATGCTGCAAAATCAAGCTGATCCGGATAGCTGCCCTATAGAGAGCAGCAAAAGTGGCAGTGAAGTGAGGAATCTTGATTGAAGTCAACCTGTCCGTCTGTCTCCCACACTGACTGCCTTTTAGGCGTTCCCTAAAGACTCATCTCTTCAAGGAAGCCTATCCCACCTCCAACCTAACCCCTAAACATTCCCGGCCTATCCCACCTCCAACCTAACCCCTAAACATTCCCGGCCTATCCCACCTCCAACCTAAACATTCCCGGCCTATCCCACCTCCAACCTAACCCCTAAACATTCCCGGCCTATCCCACCTCCAACCTAACCCCTAAACATTCCCAGCCTATCCCACCTAACCCCTGAACATTCCCAGCCTATCCCACCTAACCCCTGAACATTCCCAGCCTATCCCACCTAACCCCTGAACATTCCCAGCCTATCCCACCTAACCCCTGAACATTCCCAGCCTATCCCACCTAACCCCTGAACATTCCCAGCCTATCCCACCTAACCCCTGAACATTCCCAGCCTATCCCACCTAACCCCTGAACATTCCCAGCCTATCCCACCTAACCCCTGAACATTCCCAGCCTATCCCACCTAACCCCTGAACATTCCCAGCCTATCCCACCTAACCCCTGAACATTCCCAGCCTATCCCACCTAACCCCTGAACATTCCCAGCCTATCCCACCTAACCCCTGAACATTCCCGGTAGGGTTGCACAGATACCAAGTACGAGTACATGTACCGATACTTTTGAGCTCCAAGACTACACTAGAGAAAAATTCAATTAGGAGGCCGCTGTCATTTGTAAGGAGCACGCGGAGCTCCCGGGATTTGTGCATCTCTGTTTTAATGTATGATTTTGTTTTTATAAATATTCGAGATGCACAGATACCAGGTTTGCGAGTACTGATACATTTTTGTTTATTGTCATGTGACAGTTTTTCTAAAACAATACAGACTAATGATTTCAGGACAGTGGTGGAGCTCCCGAGCCCGGTCCCAGCTGCAACCGCTGCCACCCCGGTAGTTCTCGTGAAAATGCCAAGTATCGGCACTGGTACTCAAAGTATCTGTGCATCCCTAATTCCCAGCCTATCCCACCTCAACCTAACCACTGAACCATCACGTTCTCAAACAATTCCTCCCCACACAGCTACCTCCTCATCTGTCACTGGCCCCTCCCTTTTAGATTGTGAGCCCTCAGGGGCAGGGCCCTCCTTACCATCTTGTCTTGCGATTGTAATGTCTTCCTTATATTGTAAAGCGCTGGACACACTGTTGGCGCCATATACATACCATGTAATGTCAATATAAAAAAAAAATATCAAAGAATAAAGTCATGACGGGTTAGACATTTTCCTGCACAGCTGGAGAAAGGTTACGCATCCTCTTAGGACACTAGTTAAAAAAAACCCCCAAAAAACTGAGGCATGTGGTGGGGGAAGGGGGAGTCACTACAATTAATTTTTTTTTTTGCTTGCTAGTTTCCAATCCTCCTGCAGGCAACAGCTACACCCGTTAGTATCTCAATTCTTGTGCCCCTCATGGGACAGAAAATAACAAGCAAATCCCCAGTTTTTTTTGTTGGTTCCATCTCAGTGCTGCTGATCTCTCCATGAAGCCCCTTTTGGTCTCCATGCACTTCAGCGATTGCGGCATGGCATGCCTCAGGACGTGTTTCTGGATGGTGACAACAGTGGATCAGGTCTGTGTAATGTGCATTCACCAGAAGCCAGCGTGACAGCGCCAAGTTTAGCGCAACCGCCAATATTTTTTTTGCCGGTTGTCATCCTGTACGATAAACAATTTGCTCTTCACCTCACTTCCTGTCCTAGTTACTAAACAGGAAGTGAGGGGAAAAAAAATCTCTCCAGTGATTACAGAAACAGTAATAAGTACTTGAGGTTCCCAACTGCGTCCCAAGACTAGAAAAACATTCAGGCTGGAGTTGGACCTTATCGAAAGTCCGTTTCAGAGTTGGGATCTGCAAGTGATGCTTAGATCCCCAAACACGTGTTTATTGACGGGATCCACCATTGCCAAGATCTGAGGGGCCGCCTCCAGCTCAATGCAACACCAAACTCTACAACTTGGCTACCATTATAACAGTGTTGTAGAGTGGGTGGGGCTTTATTGGCACAAGAAAATACGCTACAAAACGCCCTACACCCAAAGAAGTACAGGAGCTTCTTTGGGGCGTTTTTGTCGCACGTTTCCATCGGGATACAGCCAAGTAGCCCTCAGAAAAGCGTGTTTGTCGCGCATATTCAATACGCCTAGGTGTGAACCCAGCCTTACGGGCTAGTTCTGACAGATCTTCCAACTTCACTAGACACATGGACCCCCCCCCCCCAAACAAGATCAGTCACTGCAGCTGGAACTCCCACCGGCATACTTGTTCCCAATCAGTGGAGCTTCAGGATAAGAATGGTACCGTTTTTTAGCATGACAGGTTCATTTTAGCATGACAGGTTCACTTTAAACAAAGTCTACAAGTAACATATATGTGATACAAAACATAAATGCAGAAGCCGCTCAGTTTTGTACATCAGCTCTGGTGACACAAAAGGAGAGACAGGACAGGAAGTCACAACACACAAGGACTCGTGAGGAGACATAGCGGGAAAGGTTAGCGTGTGAACAAAATAAAAAAAATGGTGGCGCTGAGGGTTGGTTTTATGATATGGTGCATTTATTGGGGTGGGAGGGGGGGGGGGAAAAAAAACTGAAAAATAAAATATCAGTGCAACAAAATCAAGAAAATATACAACACAATGCATAAAAATCAATTGGCACAAAAACATAAAGTTCATTCTTCAGCCTCCCGTAACCCGTGCGTACCCGTGCCCAGCCGACCCAAAGTGCAGCCATTGTGTAACCAAGACCAATGTCAAAGAAGCTAGTGACATCAGGAGAGCAAGTGGTCCTCCGTGCCTCAGTAACGCTGCGAGAACCGAGTCCTGGGTCATCATACAAAATGGCCGCCTTCAGATCACCACCAAGCACATGGGACTTCATGATAAAGGGATGCCTTTAAATTCCAGTTATCTCCAAGCCAGACTCTCCTCTCCGTATATATATCATCATCAATCAAATCATTTTTTTTTTTCCTGCGCAAATTAAACATTCATATAGTGCAGGTAGTAGTGACCGCGACCCTGATGTGGTGTCCTAAGAACTAGGGGACAGAGCAAACTTCATTCAATATGTCTCCATGTAATGGTGGCAAAGGCTTAATAAAGCTTTAAAAAAAAAACACAATCAGTTAAGGAAACATTTGGTAGAT